CGCTCCCTCTCCTCCTCCCATTGGCGGATCCAGCAGAGGGCCAAAGGGCTCCTCGCTTCCTCCTTCCCTCCCTTCCCCCCAACACCCTGGATCAGCCAGTGAGAAGAGGCGAAGAACCGGGGAGGGGGTTGCGCAAGAAGAAGTGCACTGGTATGCAAGAGATTAAGGGTTGAGATAAACATTTCGCTGTGATAGACATTTCTTCTGCTTTTCGTCCATCCGTTCGGTTAAACTGGTACTAGATCGATTGACTTCTTAGAAACCTTTATATCTTGCCGGCGGATGGTTGCTGTTGGTATTTTGCTACGCTCCTAATACTTCCGAGTGCCGTCGCTTTTCATTGTAGATTGAATACGGATGACTTTTGACATGATCAGTTACTCTCGTGGAATTGCAGGCGATATGCATGAATTTAAAATGCTTATATAGTCTAGTGTCGTTGTGAACAAACTTTTTTTTCGATTTTTAATTCAACTATAAAAGGCAAGTCTTAGGAAAAATGAATTTCCGACAGATGCGCTGGACTTGTAACTGCATTCCAGTAAACTATGCACTGTAGCATAACGGCCGAACGCCTAAATTTTGCAGAAATTTTAAAGATGCAAACAATGAATATTCCTGGCGAGGAGATTGGAAGAAAACGGAGGACTGAAATCTTCTCTGCGTTAACATATACAGTTTGTTTGGCGTTATTGGTCTGCCGTGCCGACATAAAATGTTCACGCAGTTTTTGAGTGCTTAATATATCGATTTTCACTCCTATGCCTGTGCATGTAAATTTTCACTTTTTTTTGGATTCAGGAATGGTTTCACAACAGTTTTCAAGGGCTCCATGAGCCTGTCGTATGGAAAAATGGGTGAATTTGTCAAAACGGGTGAATTTTTTATGGTTTATTCGGAGACGCCAAATATGAGCGAATATAATGCTGAATATGCTGCGAAATACCAATCCAATCGTAAGGGTTCGCCGGACGATGATAGCAACGGGCAAACAGGTCTTTTTGCAATTTTTTTGCATTTTTTTATAAAGAAATTATTTCTTCGCTTTTGTGTGATTGTACGGCGAGAGGGATTTTTTTTTATGGAAATCCATCTTTTAGCCTATTCTATTCATAGAATTGGAGTTTCTTGTCTTAACTTTTAATTTGCGTTACTAAATTTGTTGAAAATTCAGACATTCATTGGTTGCACAGGGAATCCTCAACAGTTTGTTGAACGAATGGGCTTGTTAGTAAAATTATTACGATATATTCCTCCATCTCGGGTTATATTCCTCCGGCTTGATTTCTTCGGTTCCCTGTGCTTTTTAGTCCTAGGGACCTTTTTTGCATACGTAAAAGTTAGCTTTTGGGCCGATTAGGCCCTGATATAGACGTATCCTGTGTGCGAGCATCCCAGTAGCATCACTAACATGGAATAACTGGCAGTCTGAGCACCGTGCATTCCTAGTATTCTTGGCAAAAGTGAAAATCGTATTTGTTGACAGTGTTTTTGTTCGGTTCAGGTGCTAATAATGGTCAGAGAACTCATTCATCTACGGGTAATCATCGACCAGTGAAACGACCGCCACCACCACAGGGACAGTTTCGACGAGACAATATTCCCAGTAAAAGTGTAAGGAGCGCGTAACATTTTGAAATTCTGTATCATGCAAATTTTAAATTTCATTTAAAATTTGGCCCCATGCGTTTTGGTCATATTGACAGATTGTTTCTGAAAGCGAGGGGCTTTTGAATCTGATTTATGCAATTAAGTTTTATGCATCATTCTTGCAATATTAGATATTATGCCGGTCGACATTTCTAGCTTTGCTTTTTGCTACACTTTTTTTGTTCTTTTCTTTTTATACATTATGAACGACATTGTGAAAAGATTATGTCTTTTTGTTTCAAATGAAAGTTGCGAAAATCAGAAAAATCGACGGTTGTGGAAAATGAAGTCATTTAATACGAATACTGTACAATTTACTTGCGGATCGCTCCTACTCGGATCTCCCGTCAAGCAGTCATTGACGGGCTAGGGGAAGGGGGGAGGAGTCAGGTATCAGCTGTTTTACTGTAGAAAACGCTATTCGGTATCGCCTGTTGTCTCCCCTAGGATGCCCCCCTGCTTCTCCCAATTGTCGGCGTAGTTTAGGGTCAACTTACGGGGAAAGGAGGGGAGAGGGGGAGGAGTTAGCGGAGCGTCAAGCATGCTAACGACTGGAGGGAAAGAGAGCGGAACGATGAAACGATGGGTAGTGCGGTGGTCGAGAGCGGGTGTAGTGACGAAGGGGCGAGGAGAAAGAAAAATCCCCCCTCCCTTTCTCCCCAGAAAACCACTTTGGATCCGATTATGAGAGCAGTACGATGAATTGGACGCTTGGAATTTTAAACTTGCCTGAAATCTGTTTTCATATCACGATCTCGAACTGAAGATAAACTTTCAGGCTTCAAAACTTCGCGTTTGCTGGCCCTCCATACTTTCAACACCGCTTCCGGTTATGAGATGCTCTCCCTTAAAATCTTTGACCACCCTTTCTGATTACTCATTGATATTCTTCAGATGACTGTTTCCCGCAGATCTTAAAAAAAAACGGGTGCAGGCATTTTAAAGCACATCAAAAAAAAAAACCCAGGCTGGAACGCACCAGGCTTGCCGGTGCGATCATGGGTTTTTGCACTAAACGCGCGAGTCGCTAATTGCAAGAATAATCCCCGCGTTGCAACCAAACAATTGGGCTCATATTGGCCATGCTCTGACTTCTTCCGTCTTGCAGCAGAATGGGCATCGGTTGGGATGAGGGTATTGTGTTATAGAGCCGCATGGACCTGCAGCTACATGATTACCAGTTTTTAGCTTGAAGCTCGGTCGTTTTTTCAGTAAATGCCAGCTTTTTGAGGGAATGAAAATGCAAGTTTTTTGAAAAAATGCTAATTTCCAGTTCACAAAATCGTGAAATCGCTTATCGCCAAAGAAGCATATTTTTTTACGGGATCTGTACGCGGGATGTAGAGCGTAGAGGGGAGATTTTAAAATGGGAGGGTGACACACGGGGTAGGAACATATGCCTGAAATTTCAGCCCCCCAGCTTTCCTGGTTGCTGAGATGAAAGTGGATACAACACACACGCACACATACACACACAACCTCTCGACAATGTGTGACTTTGCTAGCTGTGCACAGCAAAAACGCATAAAAACGAAGGCATATCATGCGGCAAGTCGAGTTTTAGCAGCAGACCCGGAAACGACAACTACTAAAACTCGGCTCAGCCGCGCAAATGTGCACTTACCAGTGTCTTCGGTTTTGAGTTTAGGAAATGATGGTACCCGTTTTTTGTCTAGCTGAAGTTCTAGGCCTCGCGTTCGCAAGAATATTAAGCATTAGAGCTTTGGCTGAGTGTGTAGAA